GGTACATGGAAGGGATTATAATCATTGTAATGAAAGAAGGTTTATGATTTGTTGAATGTAAAATTGATGATCTGCCCTGTAAACTTTCACTCAATCCACAATAAAAACCTTAAAAAAAAAAAGTACATAGTCTTGCATCATTTTTCCTGTTCTCATTAACTTCAGAGTCTGTTGCCCAATATCACTCGTGCATTTGACGGCAGGAGGAAAACCAGTGTGAGCAGAGTGTAGGAAGTAGAATGAATGGACACTGGCACATGGTGCATGTGAACACATAGGCAGGTGGGGATCATGTGAGAGGCCTGGAAGAGGCCAGTAAGGAATCTGAATTTTAGTCTAGGTGCAATGAGATGGCATTGAAGGGCTGGAGGCAAGGAAATATCACTGTGGATGACACATAAAGAATGGATTATCAAGGGGAGAGACTAGAAGCGCAGATCAGAGGGGACAAGAGTGAGTACGGCACAGATGATGAACAGGAAAGCTCACATTTATCAACTCCTTGGTTTTCTAGGTATTGCTTTAAACACACCACAAGCATTAATCTATTCCTCACCAATAACCCTTTGACCCACTTGTGTTGTTGTTAAGCGCCGTTAGTCAGTTCTGACTCATAGCCCCTTTGTGGATGAAGAAATAAGGCATAGAAAAGCTGTGATTTGCCAACAGCCTTCTAGCCCTGGAACCTGCATTCTTGGGCGCTACACTGTATGATCAGAACATCATAAAGTTTGTGAAAATTGTCCATTATCTTTCGAATCTACTTTTTCATGAACTTTTCAAAGCCCCGTCATAGATGGTGTTGAGGTATGGTTTGAAGACCAAGCTGACAGGCCTTGGTCTGAGTTTCTTGAGAAGATGGTCATGAACTACTCCCAGGTTTCCAGCTTTAGGTTATGGAAAGCAGTGTTGCTTACTTCAGGAGAAAACTGGAGGAGGAATAGGATTTGGAAGGAAGATCAAGAATCCATTTTTTTTTTTTTTTTTAAATGTCACGCTGACAGTTGTCTGGGTTGCAGATATATAAATTTGAGTACTGTCGTGGTTAGAATAACGCACCCAAAGATACCCATTTCCTAATCTCTGAAATCTGTGGATGTGCTTGTCACTTTACACAGCAAAAGGGACTGAAAATATAATTAAATTAAGGATCTTGGAGATTGTCTAAACAATACTATCTATTGTTGTTAGGTGACATTAAGTTGGTTCTGACTCACAGTGACCCTATAAAGGGTTTCTGAGGCTGTAAATCTTTACAGTAGCAGAAAGCCTCATCCTCCTCTTGCAGAATGCCTGGAGGGCTCAAACCACCAATTCTTGTCTTTCATAGTCCAGTGCTTGTCCTATGGAGCCATTGCACTTTGGGTGATCTAGGTGGACATAAATTTAATGAAAAGGGTCCTTATAAGAGGAAGCAGAAGTTTCCATGTCAGAAAGAGAGAGACTGAAAGATGGAAGCATAGTATAGCTTAGTGGTTTACACATTGGGCTGCTAACCCAAGGTCAGCAGTTCGAGTGCATCAAGTGCTCCATGGGGGAAACATGAGGCTTTCTGCTCCCGTAAAGATTTACAGCCTCGGAAACCCTGTACAAGGTCGCTATGAGTCGGAACCGACTCCCCAGCACACCACCATCACCACCACACAGTTGACTGTGAGGATGGAACTAAGGAATGTAGGTGACCTCCAGAAGCCTGACAAAGCTCCTAGAGCCTCCAGAAGGAATACAGCCTTGCAGATGCCTTGATTTTAGGACTTCTGACCTTCAAAGCTGTAAGAGAACAAATATGCATTGTGTAACCATTAGCATGTGTTCATCTGTTGTAGCAGTAATAGGAACTAATACCAAGAACTGTACATTAAATGAAGACAAGAAACCAGTAACTAAATAAAGGCCCTGGAGAAGGCTAAAAGAGGTAGGAATCAAACCAATCATGAGGAGAACGGCCTGAGTTAAGGACGGGTGTTCCTTCTTTTGTAGTCGCTGGGTAGGACAAAGCAGAAGTAGAGGGTGAGGTGTAGAGATGTAATGAGAAGATGAATTAATTTCAAAACAATGGTTTTAAGTTGACTCAGTGAATTATGTGGCTAGGTTTTCAGCAGGTCAACACTTGAACCTGGGGATTTTGACTCTTAATTATAGAGTACTTTCTCAATTGTACAAATGAGTCCCAAGATTTGGCAGTAGGAAATAGCAGGAATGGCCAGCAGAGAGTGACGTACTATGTTCAGGCAAATAAAACACAGCTCAGGGTGGGCAGAGGAGCAAGTGCAGGGGCCCTGTGCCAGTGCTTCCTTCCGGCAGTCCTGGGAGGCCACGCTAACCAACCCACACTGCATGCAGCCTCAGGACCCTCTCAACACAGCCATCCACAAAGCAGCAGGCACTGCTGAACTAGCCCTCGAGATGAAGTGGATCTGCCAGTCCTGACATGTTACTGTAGTTCTTCATGTCCCCTCTTTCCAGGGGAGATGAGTGCTAAAATACCACTACGAAGCAGAGAGATGGCAATAGCTGCTAAAAATCTACAGGTTAAGAAAATGATTAACACAACTGTGGTACAACCATATCATGGACTACTTTAGACAAAATGTGATGGAGACGTAGTACATATGGGAACTTTTCTAAGGTATGTTTTCACATGAGAAACCAGATTGAGAACAATTATATGGCTACTCCCATTCATGCTTTTAAAAAAAAATCTGAATGCACACACACGCACACATACACACAAATGCTCAAGAAAGTTGTGAAAGTGTTTGTTAAGCTGTTACCAAGAGTTAGAAGAGTGTGTGATGGTAGAGGGAGGCTGTCATCAGGGAAAGCTGTTTATACATTTAATTGTTTATAACAAACATGCTTTCTTTTGAAAAAATACATATAAAAAGATATACACATATATGTGTGTGTGTGTATACATATGTATGTAGTCCTGTGGTTTATAAGCACTGGCTTGCTAACCACAAGGTTGGCGGTTCAAATTTCCCAACCCTTCCTGGGAAACCCTATAGAGCACGGGTGGGGCACATCATGTGGTCTGGCCCTGCGAACACCACCACAGGTGGGACTCGAAACTCAGTAAGTCCAAGAGCTTTTTTCAAAGCAACATAGATTTATATTAAGTGATGTCATAAATATCCAAATGGCCCTTGGCAGAAAAAAGGTTCCCATCCCTGCTATAAGAGGGTCACTTTGTTGAGTGTCACTGAGTTGTATAGGGTTTCTGAGACTATATATCTTTGTGGGAACAGAAAACCTCATCTTTCTCCCATGAGCAGCTGGTGGGCTCAACCATAAGCATTGACCTTATGGTTTGCAGTATAGTGCTTATCCTCTAGAGCCACGCTACTTCATACACAAAAACACACACACACACATATATATAAGTAGACAATATATACTTGTATAAAATGAGTATTAAAAAAAAAAAAGGCAGCTGAACTGCCTGGGTTCTTTGCAAAGCAAACCTCTTAGCTCTGCTGAGTCCTCACTTAATGCTGTAATCCCTCTGGGGACTTTCTGTTCTACTGTCCCACAGCAGAAGGAACACACAAGATAACACTACTGGATTTGGTGCATGATCAATCGTCAGTAATTGTCAGCAACCTTAAACATCATCCACCCTTTCCTCTTCCCTCCTGCAATGCCACCAACATCTTTCACTTTGCACTCATTCTGCTGCTTTCAAATCACACCTTTGCTTTCTCTGCCCAATATGTGAGACACATTAAACTGACAATACCATCAGCATTATTTCTCTAACCATTCCCAAAGCTTGCTATTAAAATGCCCTATTTCTTTCTTTCAATGATAGCATGCATGCCTCTAGTAACACTGCTCCGGTTTCCTCCTCTTGTTTGCAATAAGGACTCTCTTCTCCATAAATTCACCATCGTTTTCTTTGTCATCTGATATTCTTGACCTTCCTTATTGTTGTCTTCCTTAGCATTCATTTCTCCTACTTACACTGCACATTCTCTCATTAACTTCCTCCTGCAACTTGCCACTTCATATCCACAAGGTTTACTGCTCCCATGGATCAGGCTTTGTGATGCCCGGTAATTGTGTATTTTCACCTATTACATAAGCCTTGAATTTCCTCCATTGTACTGATCTTTGTTTACTTCCCCCCCCCCAACTCCCTTCTTCAAACCTTCTGAAAGTGAATTCCTAAAAGTGACTTAGCAATCCTTTTCCCCCAAGTTATTCTTAACTCTCTACATTTGTCTCCCCTTTACTGAGCACTCATGCACACCAGACAGGATCTGATCCTAGGAATTACTTCCAAGTATTAACTCATCCAATCCTCACAGAAACCTGTGAAAGTGGATACTGTAACTATCCCCATGTAAAATATATGGGAAACTGAAGAGTCTGAGAAGTCACAACTTGCTGAGAACGCTCAGCTGGCTAGTGTTGCTGCAGAATGCAATCAGGGAGCCTGACTCCAAAGTCCAGACTCCTGACCCGCTGCCACTCTTGGCAGACAACTCTGAGGCAAAGTTGTTCTTGATGTTGTTAAGTGCCACAGAATTGGCTCTGATTCAATAGCAACCCCGTAGAGAGTTTCCAAGGAACAACTGGTGGGTTTGAACCACCTACCTTGCAGTTAGTAGTCCAGCGCTTATCCAGCAGTGCCACACCAGAACTCCTTTTCTCTGCTTCAGTTATACTCTGGTCTCACTTCTACTTTGGTACTTAGCAACCAAGTCTTACTCCTTTGCATGCTTTCAGACCTCACTAAGAACAGGAATTGCATTTTTTAAATTAACTAGACAAAGGAATCAATTAAGAGTGTGCCATTTCAATAGTGCCCTGATCCCTGCATAGCATAAGCCTTCAGTATAGGCAGACTCAGGGACGAGGCTTGCAGTTCAAACTTCATGACGCAAACTGTGGGCAGTTTGGGATATGTGCTGATATATTTCTACCTGTTCATTCTAGTAAACTTAGGTGACATCCACCCTCAGAGTCCATTTCCAGTGGGAGTCTAGGATTACCTGAGAGCGCGTCATAGAACTCATCCGCACTAAGAACACTGAGAGGCGGCGATCCTTCCACCAAAGACCGCTCTAGTTCATGGTGCTCAGTGGCCAGGGCCTCCAGTGCTTCCGACAAAATCTTATTTTTTTCTTGTTCTTGTTCCAATTTAAAATTCCTCACCTGGAAGAAAACAGATACATATAAAAAAAGAGGGGAGAAAAAAAAAAAAAAAAAGGCTTCAGGGTGATGACACTCAGACCTTCTCAGTAGGATGTGAAAATTACTTGCCTTTGATCCAATTCAATTGCAACATCAGAAATAAAAACAGTCCTTTTATATACACTTGGATGAATGAGCAAAATTACTAAGCTCATTTTGTTCTTCCCATGGGGCCTTTTCTCACAACAGCTCTAGCTAATGAAAATAGATTAAGAACTAGCAAACAACTTCAGTTCAAATGATCAGGATCCTAGGAGGAGGAGGACATTAACCATTACAGGGGAAAAACAAAACAAAAAACGAGTTATATGTCTCAACATTAATTTTGAAGAAACCAGTTTTAGCCATTTTTAAAAGACAAAATAAAGAAAATAATTCTAAACACAAAAACAAGTAGCACAAAAAAGAGTAAGGTCCAGTTTATATCCACAATAGTTTGTTGGCCAAATTGAGGACAAAGTGCTAAGCAATAACTATAAACATTTTTACTGTTTCAATTCCATACTTTACCTAGAATTTGACTAAAAGAAGTGAGAGCTAGATTATAGAAAAGGTGAAGCCTACTGTAGCTCTTTACCATCTGAAGATAAAACACAATCTAGTCCTACTATCTGGTTCAAGAACATGTGAACCTTTGCCATTGACTAAAACCTGGTATGATGCTTGTAGGATAAACACTGGACTGCTACACACAAGGTCTGCAGTTCAAACTCACTAGCTGCTCCTTGGAAACCCTATATAAGGTTGCTATGAGTTGAAACTGAAATGAAACAACAGAACCCTCTAAGATTTAAATAATCAAATCATCATAAGAAATACCAGGTACTGGGTTTGGTGTGGACCATTTCATCTATTTTTGTATCAGAATTCTGGAAATCACAACGATTCCATAATTTCCTTCTAGAGCCAATGTGGCAATGTACACAGTGGACAGAAATCAGCCTTAATCAACACTGAATTCTCAGAAAAGTCTCCTGTTCCTTAGTTTCTTCACTTACAAAATAAAAGAATTCTATAGAGTAGTTTACAGTTACGAATCGGGCTGCGAACCTTAAGCAGTTCGAAACTACCAGCTGTTCTGTGGGAGAAAAATGAGGCTTTCTGCTCCCATAAAGATTTACAGCCTCGGAAGCTCTGTACAGGGTCACTATGAGTCGGAACCGACTCCACGGCACACAACAACAACAACTATCTGCTAATAATCTCATCTCATTGGTGGTCTTCAAATCGGTAGTCTTTAATTTTCATCTTTCAGAGAAGAAAAGGATTTTTTTCCAGTATAATTCCTAACATAAAAAACAGATGCTTTGAACAGAAGACTTGTGCTGGAAATGGAGTACAAGCCCAACCTTAGAGCTCATTCCTCTCCTCAAGGCCCAAACTCAGGGGCAGTGCCAACAGTCTGAAAGGCACAGATGGGGTGACCTGCCAGTCCTCCTACAAATCAGCCAACCTCCCCAATCTCTGGGTCCTAGAAGCTGTAGAAGCTCTCTCAGACTGCTCCTGTGAACTCCTCACCCTGCTGAATCTAGCTCCTTCATTTCCTGACATTCCCTCTTCTGTTCTGGTGAAGAGCCCTTTGTGGACCTGAGTTTTTCTGATGGAGTCAGTCACGGATACAACTTGAAATTCATGCTACTGAAGTGCCAAGTTTGTAGCAGAAACCAATCAAATGCATATTGTCTAGGGAACAGTCCCAGCCCACATGCACCTGTGCTTATCAATACAGCATCCACACTATGATTATTAGAGCTGTGGCAATGAATTAAAAGCAGCAATGAATGATACGCAATAATGAGCAGAAAGAACATGAAAAACAGAGAAAAACTCTGTCATTATGAATTTTATGAAACTGAAAAATACTTGCTAATATTCCTATAAGGAGCCCTGGTGACGCAAGGGTTAAGTGCTTGGCCAAAAGGTCCGTGATTCTAACCTATCCTGTTGATTCCATAAAGATTATGGCCTAGAAAACCCTATGATATAAAAGATACAGCAACTCTTCCTGTTCAGAACAAAGGTGGGTGGAGAAAACCAAAGACTCATGGAAGAATGAAGTGTTCAGGACTAACAGCTCATGTGAACCACACAATCTCTTCAACTCTACGGTCAGAAGAACTAGATGGGATTGGCTATAACCGCCAACTATTCTAACTAGGGACACAACAGAAGGTCCCAGTTAGACTGGAAGAAAAACGTAGAACAAATCTCTAACTCATAAAATAAATCACATTTACAGGACTGATAGAAATTACAGGAAGACCTGAGCCTGTCACCCAAAGATACCCTTTTAAACTGGAACTGGAGGTCATTTTTCAGCCAAATAAAACACTGTGCAATGAAATAAACACTTAACACCATTAGGAATGTACTCCTTTAAATAATCAACTATATGAGTCCAAAAAGGTCAACATTAGCACAAAAGTGAAGATGACACGGTAAAGAGGGCAGGCAAACTGCATGGCTGGAAACCAAGCAGGTGGGTGGACACAGTGCAGGCAGGCAGGTGAGGCGGAAATGGGGCAGGCAGGGTGGACACAGAATAGGCAGGTGAGGCGGAAATGGGGCAGGCTGGGCGGACACAGTGCAGGCAGGTGAGGCGGAAATGGGGCAGGCAGGGTGGATACAAAGTGGCAGGTGAGGCGGAAATGGGGCAGGCGGGGCGGACACAGTGCAGGCAGGTGAGGCGGAAATGGGGCAGGTGGGTGGACACAAAGTAGGCAGGTGAGGCGGAAATGGGGCAAACGGGGTGGACACAGCATAGGGAGGTGAGGCGGAAATGGGGCAGACGGGGTGGACACAGCGTAGGGAGGTGAGGCAGAAATGGGGCAGGCGGGGTGGACGCTATGTAGGCAGGTGAGGTGGAAATGGGGCAGGCGGGGTGGACACAGTGTAGGCAGGGTGGAAATACTGAGCGCTCAGATACATTACAGGCCCTGTAACTAGTGTCAGAGGTTTCTCTGTGTTACAGCTGAACGCAAAGCTAATGTGCTGTGCAAACTTCACCTAAAACACAGTAGTAGACACACGTGCACACACAAAACAATCATTCAAAAACATAAGAAACCCAAACCCCTATGTCAACGGCCCCCAACAACAATATTACTATAACTTTAAACTGTATTTCCAGAGGGGGGAAATAGTCTTACTAAGGCTGAGTGCAAATTAAAAGAACAAAAAATTTGTTCTTTCTCTATCTGATGAATTCAGCAATTCATTTATCTATAAACGGCTACAAAATTACACACAATGTCCAAGATGATCCTTTCTGTGAGTATAAAAGATATGAGAACTGTTAAAGTATTTGTAGATTTCATATATATAATCAATTGCCAAAAGATTCAAATTCTTCACTCCCACCCACTCTCTCCCTCTATGATCATTACTTTAACTTTTTAAATATCAAAATGCAAATGTGCTGTTGATTCTTAAAAATAAGAATCAACAAAATTATCCTCATACCTAAAGTCATCTAGCTGACTTCAGCAAGATGGCAGAATAAATAAATAATTGAAGCACCAAAATATCCAGTTCCCTCAAAAAAATCTTAACATCCAATTTATTCTTTATCTGTCTAAAATAAGCATCATTTGAATTCTACAACATGTACATCTGTTCTCACTTGTTGTAAGGGAAGGAGTAAGGAGTAGGAAGTAGGAGGAGAGGGGAGAGAGAAGAGGCTCTAACTATGCTCTATATCTTGCCTTATTTTCATCGGTCAGTTGATCTGGGTATATTTTTATTCATTTCAAGTATAAGAGAGTTTTCTGTGCTGAAAAGATCTTTCACAAAGCTGCCCACAAAACAGCAAAGCCTGCCATCATGTCAAGCACTGCATATGAGTGAGTAGCTATACATCACAGAAACTGTACCAGCAAAGAGGTCTCTAGATGCTTCTGAAGCAGCTAAGAACATACTTTCCTGCATTAGTGCTTTTTCAGTTAGTTAGAAGGAACTTAGGAACAAGATGATTCCAAACTCTCTGCAATCTCAATATTTGGAACACAGCTATGGAAAACCCTACATTTGAAAATTAGTGTAGAGCTACTACAACTGATAAAGGGATATGCAAAACACAAGTTCCTAACATCTTCATCTTACTTTTAAATTATGTTTCCACTTGGTAAGTTAGAAGTGATATTATTAGTAGAGAAACAGTATTCTTTTGATCAAAAATACTTCTTTCCAATTCCAGGAACCCAAACAAAACCCACTGCCACTGAATTGGCACCGACGCACAGTGACTGTACAGGACAGGGTCGAACTGCTCCACAGAGTCTCCCAGAATGGAAATCTCTAAAAGAAAAGACAGCCTCATCTTTCTCCAGTGGAGGCTGGTTGGTTTGAACCACCATCCTTCTGGTTAGCAGTCTAACGCTTAACCCATGACACCACCAGGGCTCCTTATAACAGGCCCAATATTTCATTGATGTTATGTATCAATATATACATATTCATTATTATTTCAAGATCCCCAAACTATAATAGTTACCCCATGATTATTAAGGAAGAAGGAACTCCCTTCACAAAATCAGTGACCCTTATATGAGTTTATGATAATGTTAGAACATTTCTAGAATAAGGCTGACATTATATTTTTTCAAGTTCACATAATATTTATACCCTGAGCCCTATGAATTCCCCACAACAAAAATCAATATATGAAGTGAATACAAAGGTTAAGCTTTTTAAGGACTGAAGCACAGTACATGCAATGATAAATATGTCCATTACTTCATGTTTATAGCTAATACAAATTTAAACCTCTCCAGTAGTCTCCTCAAAACACTTCAATATGACGAAAAATGCCATTTTGCTTCATTTCATGCTGGCAGATGAAATTCACAGTGCATGCTTCCAAGTATCCTTCACACTGACTAAAATAAATGCCAGCAAAAGAATTCAGAGTTCTTAAAACAGTTGGGTCAACCAGCTGTATACATTTTAGCTACTCTCTCACT